AATTTATCTTTTTCCGCTTTCTTCTTGAATAAGTCTGAATTTTATCTAGAAATCTTATCACAAGGTTGATAAATTAATAAATAATTAAATACACATTGGGATATATTAGATCCATGGCAGTAGGGCAGTCGTGAAAAACTACTCAGAAAACTAGTTTGAGAGCCAACAATTTTATATGCTAATTCTGATTTCATATAACTTGTTTTCTTTTTATTCTGCAGATACTACTTGCTTTGTGACTCAAATCAAAATTGCTTTGTTCTTACAGTTTATGGCATACATATAGATGTGATAAGAGTTTGTTGCTGCAGTTTTATCTTATTTATCCTTTTAATGTATTTGAAGCCTATTAGCCATAGTATATCGTAAAATACTATTGTTTAAGAAAGAGATACTACATTATGATATGCTTATTTTAGTGTACACATGCTTCGGAGCCGAGATGACGTGGCAAGCCAGACACAGACACGACAGAAATATGAAGTGCTTATCAGATTTAAAGTGTTGTTTATGTTTAATGTTAGTGTGCAACTAGTGTCAAGCAACTGCTTTCTGAAAGTGTAGTGTGTAACTGCCGTAGATCTGCATGAACTTTTATTAGATGATCTATAAGATCAAGAACTGATTGCTGGCAAACCCTTCGTGTCAGAGTTATCTCCATTAATGCGAACGTCATCTAAGCCCAAACCATAAGAAGAAAAGGAAAGAAAAAATGAGCTATCTATCATATTGATATTTTACATCAGTAGTGGAATTAATTGGTCCTTTCTTTTATTTATCAGATCAAGGAAAGAGATCAGCTAACGCTGCTTGATCCATATTTCCGGCAGGTTGATTTTTCATGGAAGAAGAAGGTATGCTTGCATATCCAATTCATGCTTGCTTTCTTTTGGATTTCCATTTGCTGGTTAAACCTGTTTCATGGAACTCTGAACTTACTCATGTTCTGGTTGTTGTATTAATCCAAGGATTTCCTAATTCTCCAATGTCCATATGATAAAACTAGTTACTCCGACAAAGTATTCAACTTGTGTTATGTGTGTACATCTCAAATTATCTGTGACCCCTCAACAAGTTGTTCGCTCGTCAATACATGCACAACACAAACCCTGAGGGGAGACTCATTAACATGAGCCTTGCTTCTTTGGCTAATTGGCTGTTTGTTCTTAGTTTGGAATGGTGTATATTTCTTTTGTAAATACATTTAGGTGATTTTGCCGCCCCAGCTCATGGATTGAAGTTACTATGGAGAGAGGTTTTGGTTTTGGTTTTCATTTTTTTGGAAATCAAGTTCAGTAAACGTTTAGCACAGTGATTTTTAAGATTGTTGTTGGAGGGGCAGCTTTAGCAAGACCACCTCACCAGTAGACCATGTTGTGCATTGTTATTGTGGATAAAACTTGCGTGTAAAATTCGAGACTACGTTGATTGATATAAGAAAGATTTTTTTTTTCTTTCAAAGGAAATATTTACAAGTAGTTTAACTTAAAATTGATTAATTTATCATACTTGTTTTTGCACAAATTTTTTTAAAGACGTGTTAATAATATGTCAAATTTAAGAGATTTATTAGTAATTAATTTTTTTTACCTGGGACTTATCTGTAATTTTTCCTAGAAATTATTAAATTGTGTTTGTATCCTTGATATAATACACACAACCACATTTGGAGTTTGGACTATGTCTTTTTTTTTTTGAAAAAAAAAATTATACATTTAGACTTTGCTAAGTGTAGAAATGAAATGAGAACTTATTCCCTAATACCAAACGAAGCCACAATGTGGATAAGATAAAGGAATATTGAATGAGTCAATTCTTTTTTCTTCACTGACGAGTCCTTGCATTAATGCCAGCCAAAGGATAGTATTTTTGGTATTTTCTACATATTTTGTATCAATTAGTAGTGTCATATCTATTTCATATTAATTAATAAATTAATAATTTGAAGTTAATAGATTCATTGAGGCAGACTCGGTAAATTAAAAGAAGACATACACAACGTCAGTCGTGTCATAATTTTGTTTGAAATTAAAGTCCTTCGATCGAAAATAATTTTGATCACGAAACTAAAAATTTCATGACCTCAAAATAAATATAGAAATAAATATCTGCCAAGAGGGGTGCTCACATTTAGTATCTTGCCATGTCTCAAATAAAATCATTTTAATATGAGAATACTTATTAGCAACAAAAAATTTAAAAATAAATAAATCTGATTCTTAAATTAAAATTGGGAAGGGCTTATAGCTTTAATAACAAGGTTGTCTAGCCTCATTAACTAAGCATTGGAAATTCAAACATATGTATGTTAAAAAATTTAAATTATAACTATAATGGAGAAAACTTTGTCCAAAGTGTACCACAAGACATTACAGTCCCACCAAGGATTTGAACCTTTGCTAATTATATTGTGAAAGGTTAGTCTTTTTTATTAGGACTACCTTAATGGTAGAGATAATGAGGGATAAAGGGGAGTTGCAACCCTCCTAACTTTTTAATTTTTCTTAATAAACTATAGGATTTATATATTTTTGGCCTCTCAAGTATATTTGATACCAATAAACTTTAACTTTACCTAAACTTTAATAATCATTTATTCAAAAGTTAAGAGATTATAATGGGCATAGTCTTATAGAAAAAGCTACTCCTCTTTATAACAACCAAGCTATTGAAATTTTTTATGAATTGTTTTGTACTTTGATATAATTTGATTTCATTGATAGAAGGATTATGTAACAATTGAGTATCGTTATTATGTTATATATTTCATTTGTCATAGTTTATTAATTGAAAAAAAAAATTAGATTAAGTGAACAAGCAATATAACTTCTTAAATTGAGTGTACAACTTTGAATCTTAAAAATGTATTTATTAAATCATTTAATACTAAAAATATCTGCAATCTTATTGAGAAATTTTACTCTTTAGATTTTCCAATCAAGAAAGATTCCATTGGAATATGGATTATAACATTATGATCTTGATATTCCCAAAGATCTTAATTTTCATAGCTTAACTATTATAAGTAAATTATGTCAAAAGTTTCTAGAGATTGAAAAATCTAATTTTGAATTCTTTGATTGACATATTACTAGGGCTTGTACAACTCTTTTATTGTCAATGGCAACCATTGAATGGACATTTTTAGCTATACATATTATAAAAAAAAAGACATGGAAGATAATTTTTCACCAATTTAATAATGGTTTGTATTGAAAAGAAAATTTCTGAAAAGTTTGTTGCAAATATTATAATTAATTGATGATTTTATATCATGAATTGACAGGCAAAACATAAAAAATGAAAATACATGTTTATTTTAGTTATATATTTATAAAATTGATGGTGAATATGTTAAAATATCTCTGTTATATAATATTATAGTGTGTGTGTGTGTATATTTTCTTCAATTATCATATATGTTTTGTAATCACGGTCCCTCTAAACTGAAAATCATGGCTTCGCCCGATGATATATATATATATATATATATTAATTAAGTGATGGTATATTCAAGTTATTTCACATTTTTATTTCTTTTTCTTCTAGATATGAAACATAAATTTATATCAATTGTGTTAGGGGTTTTTTATTGGTAGTTAAAAAAATTTCTATTGACATTTTCATATCATTTTATCCAAAGTCAAGTGATAACTGATTTCTTTATTTTTTTTTTTAAAGGTTACATGGACAACTCGATCCAAATATATATATATATATATATATAAGGGGAAAGTACTATTTACGTCTCATAAAAATAAAGATTCTCACAAAATTGGGGGTTTGACAACAATTATTCAAAATTATTTAAACATGTGAAACAATTGTATGATTTATCTATTGAAATAATATATGATTGTCTGACCAAAACAAGAAAAAAGAAATAATATATGATACGCGTTCTTCGATCATTTATTTATACTTCTCTTGTTACTTATTGCCACTTGCATGCATATTATGGAAAAGTCTACGAGAGTAACATCAAAGACAGAGAATAATAATATTAGTTTATTACTATAAAAAATAATAACCTGGTTCTCCAATGGCTTAAATATTTTTTAAAGTTTTTGTTAAATTAATTAATTGCTAGTTGCGATGGGTCGTCACATATACCTTCTGAAACTTGGGACGGTCGCTTAATAATGCACTTGAAAAATTTCCCTAACCAACTTTGTCGTCGTCTATAAATTAATCCACTGGATGGTAATAATCTTTCCCCTGTAATGTACCTCTACATACTATTCTTCTCTGGCATAAAATTACTAACATGGGCATAAGATGAATGGATTTGAATCTGATGAGTGGTCTAAGTTAATTTAGTTAATGAGCATCTCACATGTCATAATAATAATTATTTGATTTAGTCAAACAGTTGTTAGGAATTTTGTCATATGATATTCATAAAGTACTAAATCCCATTATTTTTGGAGGGAATGACATGTGTAAGGAGTATCCTGATAATGAATATTGTTTTGAATTTTTTGGATGAAAATATATCGAATTTTGATTCAGTGATTATAGACACTAAGCGTTTGTACCATCTGAATCATTAAAATCTATATCAATGGTTTAAACAAACTCATTCATTTATTAATGTCAAGTAAGAAAGTATGAATTTAGAATTATTGATATGAATTTTAACGATTTTAATGATGCATATACTCAATGTTTGTACTAATTACAGTCACCGAATTCAGATCTAAATATATCTCAATAATTTTCAAGTATTACCAAAATCTAAGACTGAGATACTCATTAAATGAGTGTATTTGTCTAGATGATCAAATATTAATAATCACATTAGTGGATATATATATATATATATATCAATTATTTATATATTTGGCTGACTTCTAATTCTAGCTTAATTAATTGGATGTGAGTGCCGTGTGTGTGTATTTTATTTTATTGTATATTATGGCATCTAAGAATTAATGCATCACTACTTTCTATATAATTATGGAGCTAAGTTTTCGACTTCAAGTGCCACTATACGTAATGGAGCCTCTTTTGCTTTCAATTTGTGTCATCGTTTTCACTCTGGTTTCCCTATTTGTTTACAACGCAAAGTCCCATGGAAAATCCAAGAACCTTCCGCCTGGTAGTTTCGGGTGGCCCTTCATCGGAGAAACCTATGAGTTCATCTTCTCCAACCACGATAAGTTCATAAGTGACAGAATGCAAAACTACTCTTCCAAAATATTCAAAACCCATCTCTACGGCCAACCCACCGTCGTCCTCTGTGGTCCTTCCGGCCACAAATTCATCGCTGCTAATGAAGGAAAGCTCATGACCGCATGGCGCCCAACCGCCACCCGAAAGCTCTTTCAAAGTAATTATATGTTTGTGTGTGTGTATTCTGCATATTCTGAAGATCAACTTCGTTATTTTTGTCTAAACATTGGTTAATTATTTGTCTCTCTCTCTCTATATATATATATATATGTCAACAGGTGCGATGCCGACAGGTGACTCCATCGTTTCACGCCAATCCGAGATCCATTTGGTTCGTGCGCCTGTGTTCATCACTCAAGAAGCTCTGGTGGCTTATGCTTCGGTCATGGATGGTATGACGAAGCATCACTTTGAGACGCACTGGTTCGGGAAATCACAGGTTGAGGTTTTTAGCCTTCTCGAGCTTCTCACAGTGGGCATAGCCACAAGACTCTTCATGGGCCTCCAAGATCTTGATTGTGTGGCTAAGATGGCCAAGTGGTTCGGCCACATCGCTCAAGGCCTCCACGTTCTCCCGTATGAGATTCCTGGTAATTAGTTCTTCATCCGTATCAATTTATAAGATATTTTTGTGATAAAATTACATGTGATCAAGTTGTATAAATGTGGGTGGTCTTTAACTTAATAACTAATATAAAATAAAGGAGAGTGGTTTATAAACTTAACTTTAAAATTTTGAGTTCAGATGGGTTCTCTTTCTATTATTCTTCGTCTATTTGTTTGCTCTCCACTTCCAGTAGTCTCTCCTCTTTTCATAGCACACGTATCAACAAAAGTTCTTATATTTTATGACACCAAATCACCAATTCAACAATGTCCTGTAAATGGGATGGAAGGAGTCCAATTGATCATCAGCAGTAACCAAGTCATACGTGTTCATACCATTGAAAATTGAGTCAACTTAGCATTTACACTATTAACGAGGTGTTCTGATCATGTTTTGGCTATGATTTTAACAATTAACGCTTAAACCAATTATTTATATCATATCATGTCATTGTTGTAATATAATTACAGGGACTACGTTTGGTCGGGCTATGAAGGGGAAGAGAGCTGTGATGAATGAGATTATGAAGTTGATAAATGAGAAGAGAGAGAGACTGGCCAAAGGTGAGATGCCAACCGATATATTGTCGTACATGATGGTCAGTGCAGATCCGAGCGGAAAGATCAGATGAGATGAAGAAGTTGCTGATACAGTTATGGGATTGACTACAGCAGCTTTTAACTCTCCATGCATCGCTTTGACGTTCGCCATGAAATACTTGGCAGAAAATCCCCAAGTTTACCAAAGGATCAGAGATGGTACGTACGTGGGGTGTGTGCGTGTGTATAAAATCTGTTTGTGATTCCTTTTTCTCGGTTGTAATTGATGTCTGATTAAAAGCAGAGCAAATGGAGATTGCAGCATCTAAAGAGCCTGGAGAGACTCTGAGCCTGAACGACATACAGAGGATGAAGTATTCATGGAATGTGTTGTTGGAAGTGATGAGAGTGATCCCTCCTCTTCAGGGAACCTTCCGAGAGGCCATGTCTGACTTTACATATGACGGCTACACTGTTCCTAAAGGCTGGAAGGTAGGGTCCAATATTATATTATCATGAAACCAGACTTCATTGAACAAATCCATGCCCCCCCCCCCCCCCTTTTTTTTTCCGTCCGACAAGCTAACATGCATGTTTTTAGATCGTGGGATATAAGCAGACTTGTCTTGATGTGACATGTTTCCATAGGATGGATTTAACCTTAGTAAGATATATGGTTTCTCTTTTCTTGAAAGTAACACTCTCAGTGTCACAATTTATAAGAGCACATCTGAATAGATTTGACATTTCAAAATACAGAATAATATAATAAAAATAAGATTTCATTAATTATATTTTTTTAATATTAATCTTCTCATTACATTGCCTTCTCAATTTTTTTTACAAATGAGATATTAAATGAATGACATTTTTTTAGGTTTATATTTTTTTAAAAAAATAAGGTTGTAAAATATATTTAAAGAGTTTTATTGGTATATATGATTTTATCTAAAAATGTATTATATATTACTCCCTCTGTTTCAAATTATAAAATATTTTTTCTCAGTTTACCTTGGTTCAAAAAAAAAGACACTTAGTAGGTTTTGAAATTTTTTTCTTGTTTAACCCTTATACTTATTAACTTGGTTTGTTATGTAGCCTGATTGATATTTATTATATTTTTCTTACTCTTTATGATAGGCAAAACTTTATTAGTCTGCAAGGAGGATTATGTTTTCTCATGTTATCGTATTTCATTAAAAAAATATTATTCCTCTCATTTAATTTATTATTGACTATTTGGAGAAAAGGATAGAAAGAAAAACTCATGATACTTATAATTGAAAGTATGGATTTTATTGGTATTTGAATTATAATTAAAAATGTCTTATATTTTGAACTAAAAGAAGTAGAATAGAGGTAGAATAAGTTAATTTCAACTAATTCATGCATATCAGAAAGTGTTGTTAAGACATTAAAGTTGTCATAAAATTGAAATAATTCTTAATACCACACTATTAGTAATTACATTACGAAAACCCCATATAATATCTCCTTCCTTACGCACATAATACGTTTGGTTTGTGGGTGAGGCAGGTGTATTGGACGGTGAGCTCGATCAACAAAGACCCAAAAATATTTACAGAACCAGACAAGTTTGATCCAACAAGGTTTGAGGGTGAGATTCCACCATTCTTGAATATGCCATTTGGAGGTGGTCCAAGAATTTGCCCTGGAAAAGATTTTGCGAAGCTTCAAATGCTCATTTATCTTCATTACGTCGTCACCTTCTTCAAATGGCAACTCATCAATCTCAATCCCAAGGTTCTTGCAGCCATGAACGCCTTACCACTCGATGGAGTTTGGGTGCGTCTTCAGCGCTGTGCTCAATAGACGAAGCAGTCCACGAAGCGGCCTCCTTTATACATTAAAAACAAAAAAGATGAAGCAGCCACGGACACATCCATCATATATATGTGTCATGTGTGTGTACGTATATATATAATCTATACAAAAAAATTATACTAATACAAGAATAATAAAAAAAGAAAAAAAAAGGGATAAGAGAGGACATGCATGAGTTGTGGAGATATTGTAGAGCTTGCAGAAATATTTGAATAAATCGTGTCGATATCTCCCAGTTAAAATCGTAGCTAGGTTAAGATATATTGTGTTCTGTCGTGTTATGGACAAGCATCATGGCATCGGGCTTAATTGTTTACATACATACATACATACATACATATATATATATATATATATATTAATAATTGTTTTATGGTGGCATCGCGTACGCTTTAATTTGTCATTGCACAATTGAGTATTGACTTTGCTTTAATAACAGTTTTGACTTTCAATAACAAATAGGGAGAGGATCACATTTAAGGATATGTGAAGAATATTATTTGCAGAAAAGGACAAATATAATAATAAGTAATCATTCAAAAAAAAACAATTATATTCTTATTTTAACAACAATCTATTTCAGTTGGGAAAAAAAAAACAACAATCTATTTCATATTGATTCTTCACAAATTCCTTGATATGATTCTCCCCAATAAATATCTGTGCATCCATTTCACCAATTTATTCCCTTTTTTTAAGTTTCCGAAACTGTTATTAATTTTATGATTTTAACATTACAGATCTGAATCATGTGTCTTTAATTAATTCCATATAGAATTTCAGTGGTGCTTTTAATCCATTCAAGAAACTACTAGTAATGAGTGGAGTCTTAAAAAGTTTAACATATAATGAATTAAAATATTTTTTCTCATTATTGAATTGTAATATATAATATGAATCATGCCCAGTGATCATTGATCTTTGGATTTAACAGAGTTCCAGCTAGGAAAGAAATGAAAAAAAAAAATACTTATTTTCTAGTCAATACGCAAGTCAACCAAGCTACAATAACTTATGAATTTCCTATTACTATATATAATTAATAAAGCTCATTAATTCTTACACTTTAGGAGAACAAAGAGCATAACTAGTTTTAACTTCTTCGGATTCATGATATCTGGAAATTCTATTACTTTCTGAGTGAAGCGATCAAAAAGCTCATCAACAATTCCACGTCCGAAGTGCTGCTCAATCAGATCTCCCAAGAAAGCTCGTAACATGGAGACAAAGTTGGAGGCTTTTGGGGTTGAATAAAATTCTTCAACTTTCAGTGTCTCAATCCGCTCAATACTGAGACTCTCATTCTTCTCCAGGATTTCCTTCAGATTCTTTGCAGGTGAATAAAAGAGAGGCAAATTGAGTGAGTCAATCTTTTTCTTCACCCACTCGTCCCTGCATCATCATCCATGTGAGCCAGATTTTAGTTCTCTCTTTTCTTTTCTTATTTATAAATCATCTCCAACATATTTTAATAAATTTTTATCTTTGACTTTATTAAATATACATACTTTTAACAACGTATTTTCTTTCATATTTAATGAAAGTAATATGGGAAATTTCTGATAAAAGTGCATGACATGAAGATTAGAGAAGTAATTCAGACGGTTAAAGGCTTCTCAATTACCACTCTAGCCATGTCCATGAGAGTAGATCCAAGAAGCTCATAAGCCCTAGAAGGATGTATATCAGATTCGAGAATCACATCAGGCACAGTAGCGATCTGAAGCGCCATTAGCCCATTGCTCACAAGCTCTTGCGCTCTAGCATGCAAAAAATTCTCCAAGTCAGCTCTGTACTGTGCTAAATACGCATCTTCTACTTCCTTAGGAGCATTTACGTGATGACTCCTTCCTTTGTTAAATGCACTGCAGCTTCTATCTGCAATCTCTTTAGGAACCCTAGAAAGCCAATGAAGTGTTGAAGATGAGTGGACAAAATGGAGAGTTTTCTTTGGGAATAAGCGTCCAAGGAAAGAGCCAGGAACCCCAGAAGCGAAGTAGTTTCTATTTGGAGGAAGCTGCTTGAAGAATGTGTTGAAGTTATTTGAAACTTGGTCGTTGAAGAAGACATGGAATTCTGGGATTTGATGAGCAGAAAGCTTCTGAGTTTTGTAATAATATTATTTTTCTATCAATTCTGTTATGGTTTGCATTGCAACAATGGCATTAGGCCCAGTGGAGCAGCCAAGGTCAGCAATCCGAATGACGTTTGTAGGTCCAATGTATGTCATGGGATCAAAGTTCTTGACTATTGCTTCCTCAATCAGTTTTTTGTTAGCTTCAAAAACTTCTCCCTGTAGAAAAAAGACACGCAATATAATTAAATGATAAGTTTGAAATCACATCGCACAATCATACATATGTGTGTGTGCGTGCGCGCATGTCACTGTATTAAAATGTGAAGAAATTACCAGTATGCAGCAGAAGCTTAGTTTATTGAGAAGAAGAGGCAATGGCATATGAATTTGATGTGCCATTAATTAACATCGTATATAAGTTAAAAGTACAAGTTTAATACCCGAAAGGAAGAGTTTTGAGCGTAGCTGTGAGGACCCTCTCCTCCTGTCATTGCAAATGATGATTGATTCTCCATATATATTAGCTATTAGATGGTGTCTTATCTACCTGCATGATTTTTCTTCAGTGGTAAGTTATTTTGTGAACCAAGAATAATAATACCGCAGAACTATGACAAAGAGAGAGAATATACCATACGAGTTTATTAATTCTGTATAGGAAAACACAGTTTCCTAAATGAAAACAAGCTGTAGAACTTGAGCTTTCTGGTTAATGCAAGAAGCCGATGCTGATGCATTTATATGCATATAGGAGTGTGTCTGTGTGTGTGTGTGTATGGTGTTCAAGGATATCGTTGTTGGGTGAGTCAAAATTCAAAACATGGCTCCCAAGCTAGGCGGGTGAATTGAATTTTGTTAATTATTTTACTTTTCAAAAAACTTTACGGTTTGTGGAGTTTACTGCTGCATGTTATGATAATCATCAATGATGTCAACACACTTCTGGCTTTGCTCATCAACGACGTCGCTTTATTATATTATTGGATGCTAGTGACCTTAAAATTTGGATTTAAGAGGAGAAGAGGAATAATATATAATTCATCTGGAGTTATCACTACTTCGCAGCCATGCTTCTAATAATAGATCCAAATTATTGTTTGAATTTTTTATCCTTGAGGAATTTTGTTGACCAATATACTTGAGGAATTTTATTGTTATACACAAGAATACATATATATATATATATATTAACTAATTATTGATGATAGAAGTTAAAGTTGAATCAATTTTAATCAAGCAAATATTCTGAGAAATAAAATATCCTAAATTGAAAATTATTATTAAGAATATAATATATATATATATATATATCATAAATTCAATTTAAAAATAAAAATAATTATATATATGTAACTCCCATATTTGCAATTTAAAAATCAGAAGATGATGATGATGATGATGATGATAATTAAATATATATAATTTTCATTAAAAAAATTCATCATATCACTGCCCATTCAAATCATCAAATTTGTTTAAATAAAATCTGAATGGGCAATAAAAGAAAAATTTAACTTTGAGTTCTTACATTTTATTAAAATTTTATTGCTTTTAATTTCTATACTTTTATTATTTATTATTTTAAATCTTTTCAAGATCCCTACACTTCATTTATAAAGAGACTTAAAACAATAATAAATAAAAATATTAAAAATTTAAAATATAAAAAATATAAAAATTAATAATAAAACACCAGCAAAGTGTGAAAATGAAAAGTTACATTTTTTTTACCGTAAAAGTTGTTAAGTGGAGACACGCTTGATCCAAGTCGAAAATCGGATACAAAGATGTCGTCATTGATGATCAAAAACAGCCGTCCTGTGACATCAGTGATTAGCATTACATGTTGTAAAAGTCAAGTGCTTTCGAACACTTTTCCAAACCACAATCGAGGCATCAAAGTTTTGAATATTTCATGGCCTTTTCATATATTTTTAACTTTATCTTTAAAAATATTAATAAAAAATTATTCTATAAATCAAATATATAAAAAAAATTTACGAAATCAAAAAATTATTTTAAAATCTATATTTTTATTAAAATATCAATTACATAGGTGTTAATTATTGCTCCTTTTAGCTGTTTATAACTAGCAAGGCAGCAATTACTATCAAGTAACAATTAACAAATTTTAATATAATAAATTGATAACTTTAACAAAATATTATATGGAAATTTAAAATAAATTTATGATTTTATAAAAAATTGTATTTAAATTTTGGCTTAAATTTTTTGGGTAAGATCGCCGCAGAGTTATTTGTCGACAAGAAGTTTATGACTGTTCAAAAAGAAAAAGAAAAAGAAGAAGCAAGTTTATGATTGAACTCCGTATCTATCCATCTGACTATCTATATATTCAGAGAGTACTCTATTACCTTCCAACTCAACCAGAAAGCTCAGGTTTTCCAGAAACTCACTGGGGAAACTCCATTCCCACAGCTAGCCAATTCAGTGGTAGATTCTCTCTTATTAATTTCTTCATTAATTGAGGTAACTTGCCTCGTCAGCAGAGAGAGAGAGAGACAGAGAGAGAGAGATGGAGTATCGTTCTTTTGCAATGAATGGAGGAGAAGGTCCTCGCAGCTATGCTCAAAACTCTTCCTTTCAGGTTTGCTCATTAAACTCAACGTGTTCATCATGAGTTTACCAAAAACTGACTGCTGTACATATAAACAAGCCTTAATTTATTTCCTCTTCACATTTTCTTCTTAGTATATATATAACCTGCTGTAATGCTGTTAGTTTTACTTTTTCTTTCTGGATATTAATTTGTGCTACTCACCAATTAATCCTGGAATATTCCACGAGCCGAACACAAGACGAAACTTTGTTATATATAAAAACAAATAATCTTGAAAAAGGATTTAATAATTAATTAAATGATGCAAAAAGTAAAAGCGATGAACCAGCTAGTGAGGCAAACGCCAGGGACCATGATTCACTTATCAGAATGATTTACTTTAATTCAATTAATTATCTTTTCTTTATTTATAGTGACAATTGTTACTAAAGTATTCTAATTACTTCTCAATATATTAGGGTATATTTAATTAAGGATAAATTTACTTTTTCTTATCCTATTCAGACCTTAAATAAATCATGAAGCCATGATCTACAAGCCACCACAGATCCTAAATTATCTCTAATTTAATTATTTATGTTTATCTCTCAAAGTCTAACTTAACTCTTCATCTCTTAATTCATTGAATAGCCCACAAGCAAATTATATAGTGACCGTTCCATATAAAAAGTAATTAAAATAAGCAAGATAAATATAAATATAAATGAAAATATATTTTTCATAGATAAGAAATTAAGTTTGATAAGAAAAATAAATAAAGAGTAAAATCTATCCTAATCAAGTTAAAAACAACTCACAGAGGTTAAATTAGAAATCTCAATTAAAAACATAAATAAAATCTAAAAAATAAGGTAAGAGAAAAAATTCTCAGTTTGAAGATTTCTTCCAAACTTTATAATATACCTCTTAATCTTCAGATAAAATTAAAATATTTGAGAGATTTTTGAAAGATTTATTTATAATTAATTCAGCCTCCGGAACCCGGTAGATCATGCCTCTATTTTATATGATTTGCAATACTGATTTAAATATATTTAATTATCAAATTGCGTCTCCTAGAGTTTAGGTTTGCGTGCAGTCGGGCACCGTTATGTTATGTCCACGCGCGGGTAAAAGTCGAGGCTCCTTGTCCGTTTTGTTTTTCACGCGCAGGTGAAGAATGAGAGCTTTAGTTGTCCACGCGCTGTTATGAATTGCGCAAAGGTTTCTGCGGACATTCGAATGCAAGGGGCACGATTCTTCTCGCTTTGGTTACATCCGCAAGCAGAGAAGCTCTTTGGTATTGTTGTTTGCTAACGGATGACTTCCTTTAATTTGGGCCATTTATATGTTATTTTCACTCCTTTTTCCTGAAAATACTGCAAAATGCTAAGTGAGGCCCTTTTATCTATATTTATCCTTTTTTCAAGCATATTATTCAATGAATAAAAGGGTAGAAAATATATATAAATTTGGGTAAAATACCCACTTATCAACGATGACACAATGACATGCATGTGTATATGTTCCCTTATGTCTTTCACTAATCTTAAATTTATATTAACTTTGTCCTCTCTGTATGACACGCACATGAAGTATATATCCTCGCGAACTCAGTGATTGTTGTGTGTTTTCTGCAGAGAAGCGCGTTTGAAGCTCAAAAGAGGTTGATTGAAGAGGCAATAGCCAATAACTTTGATCCCATGACGATGATAACTACTTCTGGGTCTAAGAACCTCATTACTATTGCTGACTTAGGCTGCTCAACAGGTCCTAATACCTTCATAGCAATACATGCCATAATAGAAGCAATAAAAAACCTTTACCACACAAGTAACCTTCCTGCTGCTCATTATCAAACCCTAGAATTCCAAGTCTTCTTCAACGACCAAGTCTCGAGCGACTTCAACACACTCTTTAAGAACCTTCCTCCTAACCCTAATCGATCCTACTTTGCTTGTGGGGTTCCTGGCTCTTTCCGGGGACGCTATTCCCAAAGCAATCTCTTCACTTTGTGTATTCTGCTTCAACACTTCACTGGCTCTCTAGGTTCCCAAGGACATTATGGATCGAAGTTGCAGTGCTTGGAACAAGGGAAGGATTCATCATACGGATGCTCCGAAGGAAGTTGGAGAGGCGTATGAAGCTCAGTTTAAAGAAGATCTTGAGAGTTTTCTGAATGCAAGAGCAGAAGAGGTTGTCGGAAATGGACTTATGGCACTTCAGATACCTTCTGCACCAGATGTTGCTGCTGCTGATGATGATAAGGAAATACATCCTGCTAGAGTTTTTGAGCTTCTTGGATCTTCTCTCATGGACATGGCCAGAGTGGTAAGAATTCTTAAGGAACCTTAGCTTATAAAAGCAATGAACTTTGAGAATGACAATTCTCTCATTTTTTTAAAAAATACTGTTTTGGAATTTCTTTTCAGAACATAATAAAAGAAAATTTTATTTGATAGGATACTAAAATTTTTAGTCCCCAAATTTACCTTAACTATCGATTTAATTGGTCTTTCAAATTTAATTTTTATATTTTGGTCTTTTGCATTTTTCTTAACTTCATGCTAGGTTTTTAAATTTTAAAATGCAAATTAACTCTTAAATCAATTTGATATGTAAAGTATATATATTGATCACTTGATACGTATATATAACTAAATGAGAACAAATTAACTCTCGAATTAGTTTTTTTTTTCCCTGTCAATCTAGTCCTTTATGCTGTATTTAATTTTATGCAGGGAATTATGACAGAAGAAAAAGTTGACTCGTTTAATTTGCCCATCTTTTACTCACCTGTTAACGGCATGAAGGAGATTCTTGAGAGAAATGAGCATTTCAGTGTTGAGAAAATGGAAGCACTGAATCTTAAGAACTTCTATGCAGTCCCAAATGTGTACACATTTGTTTCCCTTTACAGAGTTGTGATGG